ATATAGAGGAGCCCCAAACGCCAAATGTTAGATAACATTCTAAAGTTCATAAGATCTTCAAGCTCTCTCCAATCTCATACCTAATCCCCCTTTATGTAGAATAGAGATTTATTTATAATACTTTGGGAACATAATTTTGAAAATTTAGTCAAATTTTCTTAATACTTCATCGAATTACTTATATTGAACTAATTATTCAAAATGTAGTTATCTTAATGATCTCATAATTGAATATCTTGTTGAATTAGTCTAGTCAATCCACTTGATTAGACTATAATCATGTTAGAATTCATATCCATTGGTCCTTGAATTAATGTCTTGAAACTTTCAATCATACTTAGTATGCATGATGTGGGCTTATTTGGACTCAGGTCGAACACTTTTTATTCTATTGGGTTTGTCTTTTCAAATTAAAGGATACTAAAAGTAAATTTTGGATAGGGGCGTCAATTTGGTTTAGTGGGTTAGGTTTGGGGTTGACCCAAAATTGATGCGACTCGGATATGCTTGACCAAAACCTGATTTGTTTGTCAAATAGGTCAAATACTTTGACTGGAAAACCCATAGTTTTTTGTTTCTTTTTATTTTGGCTTGGGTTTGGTTTGTTCTCTTTGGTTATGGGTTTTCTGTTTCACTGTGGTTTGGGTTGTTTTGTTGGGAGGTCTTGTTGTGGTACTGATTGTAGAGCTGGTGCTTAACTTTTGTTTGGATGGGTTGTTGAGTTGACGGTTTATTGTTATGGTTTTTATTTCATTCTCTTTTTTATGTTATGTTTCTTATATCTTCTTCTGCATTATTGTGGTGTTCTTTTTTTGTAGGTTCCCTTTTGAAGGTTTGTTACTATTGTGGTTCTAGTGATGTATGCCTGATTGCGTTGATTGGGTAGCTGCTCTTTTTGGGTTCCTCGGCTTTCTTTGATTATTGTTGTCCTTTCTACTCCTTTGTTGTTCATTTTTTATGTTCTTTTATTTAGCTTTTTCTCATTGTTTATCTTGTAATAGATTGGATCGACCGCTAGTAGGTTTTATTTCATATGATGTATTTTTAGATGGATGTTGATTCACTAAGGATTTGTAATATTTACTTTAACTAATATGTAGGCCCCATTCTCATTGTTTATCTTGTAATAGATTGGATCGACCGCTAGTAGGTTTTATTTCATATGATGTATTTTTAGAGGGATGTTGATTCACTAAGGATTTGTAATATTTACTTTAACTAATGTGTAGGCCCCATAGTGAGGGTTTTAATTAAAAAAAAATACTCTTATAGGAATTTGACTTGAAGCCTCATAGCCTGAATCCAACCTATTTATTACATGTATGTTGCAATTTTTTTTATCAATATTACTTGTATAGCTTCAAATAATGCCAGTCTATTTCATACCGGAATGATTATCACTTGAGTTTCGACTTAATTTTAAATTTTTGGGCCAAACCAAACCTAGCTAAGAAATTAATTGGGCGAACATTTCAAACCCAAAATCAACTCGAATAAAATCGTATCAATCCGAACTGCAAACCTATATTTTCTTAATCAACCTTTGTTCAGATTGTCGGATCGGATCACTCACAGACATCATCGAATATATATCATTCAAAATTTAATTTAAAAAATATTTAAATATAAAATATTTCATCCAAAATTTTGTATGTCAAATAATTTTTTTGAGGGCACATCAATCATACTCCTAAAACAATGATTAGTGAGGATCATTCTAAGTCTCAATATTGACAAGATAATGACATAGAGCGCTGACTCGCCATCGCACAAAATCTTAAATATACGCAGCATTGCTGCCTGTACGCCTTCCCTTGTCACTTCAATCAATAATATATTATTTTATTTTTGTATTTACTTATTCATGCACCTTTTATTCAATTTAATTTAATATTACAACTCACAATATTAATAATTTATAATTTTAAGAGAAATTATTACCTGCAAAATCCGAACGTAACTCTATATTCAGATTCTAAATTAAATTAAGACAGGTAAATTTTTTTTCTAGCATGACCCGACGACCCGACCAAGCCTAAAGTGTGTATAAATTCTTCTTGTGCTGTGTATAACTTATACATAGTGTATGTATATACAGATCTGTGTGTACAAGCGAGTCAGGCCGTTGGATCATGCTAGAGCTATGTGTCTTCATTTAATTAAAATATGGAGGATAGAGACCTACTTCAGGACTCCGCTCGTAATAGTTTCTCCAATTTTAGACATTTACAAAAAACTTCCAACAATTATTTAGCCTATTTTTTATCCGAAAATCTTCAATTTTGTTGACCAAACACTTGTTTTAAATAATTTTTTTAACAATTAAAAAAAAACGTTTTCTTATAACAAATGCCATAGTTAATTTCATTATCTAATTATTAAAATATTCATATATGCACCATTCATTCACTAATCATACAGTGATACAGATAGCCATCTTACAAATATTTTAATTGCAAAACAAAAAGAATTTTAAAAACAATTAAGTTGTTAAAATTTAATTAACTTATTCATAACTTAACTATCAAAATAATTTTGGATATTAAAAATTAAAATTCAGTATAAAATATTATTATTGCCGAAGTTAGCGTTTTCAAAATAAGGGAACCGGCTTGTTAGCCTGCACAAACTCGTAAAATGAAGCTCGAGCTTGAACTTCATTTATTAATCAAGCTCAAGCTCAAATTTGAGATGACTAGAGTTCGGCTCGACTCGACTCGTTTACTCCCCCAGATAAAGTCATGAACTGTTCATTTCTAACATTAATAAAATCAAATTAAAATTACGATATGAACACAGATCAACTGCCTCAACTCTACGGATTGATTAATTTTCCTTTTTTTATGACTAACCAATAAACTAATCTAAAGGATTTTTCCAGGAAACTTCGAACCAACTTAATTTGTTAATTAATTAAATTCTACTGTTAATATTCTAATACGTTATTCAAAGCATGACTTCTTACTTAACACGGCGTCAATGCCAAATAATATCTACGTTTTTTTAATAATCTATATAGATTAGGGCTATCAAAATCAGGCCACGAGTCCGATTCCGGTCCAACTCAAAATTGACCCGATCTGAACCCGACTCGTTTTTACAAACAAATCAGATATTTCAACCCACACCCGACCCACGCGGGTTACCGGGTTGACCCAACCCGTGGACACCGCAACAATACGATAGCAACAACGGCTCGACAACGCCACCAGGGATGACAGACGCAACGCTGAAGACGAGATGCCACTCACACCACGACAACGTGACTGATGATTCACTCGAAGAGATGCAACTCGATGCGACGGGCACTTGACGACGGGCAACGCGGGTACTTGACACGGGTAGATGTGATCAAAGGGTTTCGATGTCATTCTGGGTTATTTTCGGATTTTTGGGTCAACCCGAATCCAACTTGATTTTTGAAACAGGTTGGTTTGCTGAACCCAAACCCGACCCATTTCACAAACAGATTGATCCTAATCTAAAATTTTCAATTCTATTAATATGATCCTCTAAATTGAGGTATGAAAGTCCTTTCACTACTGATGATGTGTTATTCTTGATTGAGGGGTTTCAAGTTAGCCATTAAAAAAATATTTATAATATGTTGGAAGTGATTTCTATAGACGATGCTATACTAGAACGTCTAGAAAATTTACAACAACAGCATATTTAATATCTTAGTTTTATATAAATATCTACTATTTACATAGAAAATTTACAAGAGACCAAAATATTTTATGCAAAAAATTCAAAGAAGGAAAAAAAAGGGTTTGGCCCAATCTTAATAGTATATTATATAGTTATATATACAAGTATCCATTATTCTTCATAATTGGAAAAGACTATTATTCAAATAAGAATAGTTTTTTTATTCTCATTTTAGGGATTGCAAAAGTCATGTGTTCATAATTAGACATTTGCAGTCCAATAATAATGTTGGATTTAAGTAGTCAAACAATATTAGTCAGATGATGAAAGTTGGTTGATGGTGGCAATATCTGTTGATCGTTGCCGATGATAGTTCGAAAATTTAATAATGAGTTTTATCTCTCTTAACTTTGAAACCTCTTCCCACGTAGAAAATGAAGCCATTTTTATAGCCTTTTCGAGAGATACTAGTAAATCTGAAAAAAATCCATAATATTCTATTAAACAACCCACATTGATCCCGTTGATACTATATTATTTATCTAATATTTGAGTTCTTTAATGATATTATAATTAAATCATAATGAGCTCATTGGATTTGTCTCATTTTGCTACTCGGTTTGACCATATACATGCGCTATTGGAGATCATTTATCTTTTAATTGATGTCCCAAAGTTTCTAAATACATTTAAGGGTTTGATTTGGACTCACATCTGATCACTTAGAACATTAATGATTTTATTTGATCAAAATGTTTAATTCAACTGTAAACCCATTAAAATTAGTGTTTGGATGGTCATAAATTTAATTTTAAATATTTTTAATTTAAATAATATCTCAATATTCAAGTTGATCAAGTAAATTTTAATTAATACTAATATTTATTTACCACATCTCAATTTTTTTATTAAAATTCATTTTAGGTTGTTCTCTTATATTTTTCATGAGCACTTATTTGAAATTGGGCTCATGATATTTAAAAGTTCAAATAATATATTTGATAAATATTTTTATAATAAAAATATTATAAAAATATTTTAATTTGTTTAAAATTTATATATTAAATTTAAAGACATCAATATTTTTCTCCAACCATCGCCTCACGGATCCCTTTTCACATAATTTTAAGAAAATCTGTTGAAAAACGACATTGCAAAATCGTTCTTTTATTTGACTTTATTGGAAAATCAACTAATTGTAGGAAAAGTACAATATTTTGAAAGATGCGGATTATACTGTAAATGTTGGTTCCTTGCTCATCCGCCACTGCACCTCCCTAAACAAGGGATCACTTTTTTTCTCTCTCATCTCTCTCATCTCTCTCATCTCTCTCTCTCTTCCGGTTCTTTAAAGGTCTTCACCACAATTTTTCTCAAAGAACCGGGCCAAACAGGTGCGACCCATCTTGGTCTCTGGAACGGTTGTGATAGATCGAACAGAACCTCTCTTTATTTTCTCCTGTCATCGCTAGCTAATTCTAACAAGCAACCCTAATCCCTTGCGTCTCTCCTTCTCCAAGCGCTCGTGCTCGCTCCAAGCTCAGATCCGGACGAGTTTTTGTTCCTTACTTTCCCCGTGCATTTGAATCATTTCAGCTTGGGTTTCCGCTTTCCTATTTTGGTATTTATTCTTGGATCGATCGATAGACGGCAGAACGCTGTGTTGGGCATCCGTAGAGATAGTACTGGTGGATTTTTTTTCGCCGTATTATCTCTGGAACGGTGTGATTTCTTGTTTCTCACGAGCGATCTAGGCTTGATGGGGAAAGGCGGGCAGGATCGGGGGCGTGGAGCCGGTCCGATGCCTCATCCGCCGCCTTCCTCGTCTTTTCCAGCGTGGGCGAGGACGGTTGCTGAGTGTCAGGCCGAATTTGGAGTTTCTGCAGACGTTGGACTAACCTCGGCTGAGGTTTCACGGCGGCTGGAGATATACGGCTTGAACGATCTCGAGAATCACTCTGGGCCATCGATCTGGCAATTGGTGCTCGAGCAGTTCAACGACACGCTTGTTCGGATACTTCTTGTGGCCGCGGTCGTTTCCTTCGTTCTCGCGTGGTATGATGGCGATGAGGGCGGCGAGATGGGGATCACGGCATTTGTGGAGCCGCTTGTGATCTTCTTGATTCTAATCGTCAACGCAATAGTAGGGGTTTGGCAGGAGAATAACGCTGAGAAGGCGCTTGAGGCGCTGAAGGAAATACAGTCCGAGCATGCTGCTGTGAGAAGGGACGGGAAGCTCATACCTAGCTTGCCTGCTAAAGAGCTTGTCCCAGGTGATATAGTTGAACTGAGGGTTGGGGATAAGGTTCCTGCCGATATGAGAGTGTTGTATTTGATAAGCTCAACTCTTAGAATGGAACAGGGGTCTCTTACTGGGGAGAGCGCAGCTGTGAATAAGACCAATCACAAGATCGATTTGGAAGATACTGATATACAAAGCAAAGAGTGCATGGTCTTTGCTGGAACCACTGTAGTTAATGGGAGCTGTGTGTGTTTGGTCACGCAGACTGGTATGAACACGGAAATTGGTAAAATCCACTCCCAAATCCACGAGGCTTCTCAAAGTGAAGAAGATACACCCTTGAAGAAAAAATTGAACGAGTTTGGAGAGGTCCTTACCGCTTTAATTGGCGTGATCTGTGCGCTTGTGTGGCTCATTAATGTAAAGTATTTCTTGACCTGGGAATATGTCAATGGCTGGCCGAGAAATTTCAAGTTTTCGTTTGAGAAGTGCACCTATTACTTTGAGATTGCAGTAGCTTTAGCTGTGGCTGCAATTCCTGAGGGTCTACCAGCAGTGATTACAACTTGTTTGGCACTGGGTACAAGGAAAATGGCAGCAAAGAATGCGCTTGTGAGGAAGCTTCCTAGTGTGGAGACATTGGGGTGCACGACTGTGATTTGTTCTGATAAAACTGGCACACTGACAACGAACCAAATGTCAGCGGCAAAACTTGTGGCTATCGGGCGGTGGACTGATAATTTGAGAAGCTTTAAGGTAGATGGAACTACATATGATCCTAATGATGGGAAGATACATAATTGGCCAGCTGGTAAGTTGGATGAAAATCTGCAGATGATTGCAAAGATTGCTGCAGTTTGTAATGATGCCAGCATCAGTCGTTCTGGGCAACATTTTGTTGCTACCGGTGGGCCTACTGAAGCAGCCTTAAAGGTACTTAGCCTGAGTTGGTATCTTTAACGATATCTGTGATATTTTTATGATAATCTTTAAGGATTGTTTCATCCGATGTAGGAAGTCCCTTTTTTGTAGCAAAGCGGATACTCTGCTTTGATAATTCTGTTAGGCTCTTAAGCATCTTGGACTATTATTTGATCTGCTATTTCTATTGTTGCATATTATGATAATGCTTGTTTGAATAATCATCCTTAACATCGTTCTTGTCAATTGTGTATGGTAATGAAACACCAAACAAATTATTTGTTTTCATGTTATTGGCTCTGCTTGTTCGTATGCTTCTTCTTTTGCTGAAATAGCCTAAATATTTGCAGATTCATAATTTCTGAATATTCTCACTCATGTAGGTTTTAGTTGAGAAAATGGGACTTCCTGCTGCGTCTGATGCTGCATCTATAGGTTCCACAGATACATTGAGTATGTTCGCTTATTTTATTTTACTTTATTCATTGAATATATAATTATATATGAATTTTTACTGTTTCTTTGTTGTTTGTAATTGAAGGATGTTGCCAATGGTGGAATGATGTTGCCCCTAGGGTTGCAACACTTGAGTTTGATCGTACTAGAAAGTCCATGGGAGTCATTGTGACATCAAAGACTGGAAAAAATACCTTACTTGTGAAGGTGACATCTTTTCTCACATCCTTAATGAGCTTTTATTGCAAGATTTTTCTGTCAATTTACACCTTCTATTTGAACTGATGTTTTGGAAGGCATAGGTTCAGACTGAATTTTTACTAATTATCACATAAGTAATGTGTTTAATCTTTGCCTAGAAAGGTAATTATTGCACGTGTCATTACAAGCTATCTTTGACTGCTGGAAGTGTAACGTTTGGGTGATAGAACTTATATACTGTTCTGTTTATGCCTTTGTTCTCTATACTAAATATCAAGCACGCAGTACCGATATTATGACTAGCTGATTCCATTAAAGCATATAGCTCTCTCTTATGCCTGCCATACAATGATTTCTTTTTTTTTAAAGGAAAATTGAGGGCTAGAAGTCAAATTTTACTGTATTGCCTAATGCAAGCGTGAATGACTTTTTGATTCATTTGATTGAGTGTTGTCAAAGGGAGGCCCATGAACTTATTTAAGGTGATGAATCTGATGGAAATCATTTATCCTAGTTACTTGATAATGATTTTTAGGCAAAAATTTTGGATATGCAAGATGTCTTCAGATCTAGAGTTCCTAATATAATTAAATGGTGCAATGAATGAAAATCACATTAGAAATTTGTATATTAATAATTTGTTAATTAAAATGAGAACTTGTTCTCATTTGATTTAAACCCAAAAATTCGGAAAAGTTTATGTCAATAATTATCACCTAAATTAAATATATCAAGAAATTTAAATAATCTAAACCCGAAGTCGTTGAATATTTTGACCACAAAAAGCATTTAGTTGTAACAAATTTGACTAAAGTCAATCCCAATTGCACTCAAAAAACAATGATGAATTTTGTGGTAGAAATAGAATAAAGTAAGAGATCACCAAACATAAAAGTTTTAGTGCACTCAAAGAATCTTGCATTCAACAAGCACATGCAAAATAGGAGGGAATTCAAAATTTTTAGTAGGAAAAATGTTGTTCTAATGCAAGCCTTAATATTTGATCATTATAATCATCTGAATTTCCTGAGTAGTTGCAAAAAAAATATCTAGTCACTGAAAAAAAAAAATCTCAATGTGAACTAGTAGGATCGATGGATAAGCATGGGTGTAAATGCATAGAAATAGTGATACATTATAACTCGATAAAAAATAAGGATAATCGTAAAACTGGAAATGCCAATCCTGCCTTCCCCTCAAAATTTCACTTGAAGAGTTCGCTTTGCTTCATCAACAATAAAGCAGTACATTTCAATTTTGTTATAGTATCCAATTCTTGTAGCAAACAGTTGCAAGTGTTGGGTTAGAAGTTCAATATCAATCTACCTGGCTTGAATGTCATTTAGCTTTATCATGTGCTCTATCTATGTGCTATAATGACGATTTAATTTATTTCTAGATAATATAATTTAAGAGCACGCTATTTTGATTTGGATATGTCATGACCCATATGTTTTCTCTTCCGAAGTTCAACACTCCAACAATTGTTCTTTGATGTGTCCTGCATAATTTTAATCACTAACTAATTGATATTTTTGCAAGTGTAAATCAGGTGCTGCTAACTTGTTTGATTGATCATCATAACTTTGTTTTGTCTTTGAATAAGTAAATCACTCAGCCATTCTGATACGTCCTATAAAGTTTAATAATCAAAGACCATTTTGACAGGGGGCTGTGGAGAATTTATTGGAGAGAAGTGTATCCGTGCAATTGCTTGATGGCTCTATTGTAAGGCTGGATGAGAGCACCAAACGTCGAATTTTGGAATACCTGCATGAAATGACATCTACTGCTTTGCGATGCCTCGGTTTTGCATACAAGGAAGAGCTTTCAGAATTCAGCACCTATGATGGTGAAGATCATCCTGCTCATAAGCTTCTACTTGATCCATCTAATTATTCATCCATTGAGAGTGATTTGGTTTTTGCTGGATTAGTTGGGCTTAGGGTGAGTTTAGATGCTTTTTTTTAATATTCCATTTACTGGCATACCTATCTATCATCCACTTATTTCCTCCTGTTATTTTCCACTTTTTATCATTTTGTTTCTCTACTTTAAAATGGCTATAGGACCCACCCCGTGCTGAAGTACACAAAGCAATTGAAGATTGCAGAGCCGCTGGAATTCGTGTGATGGTAATAACTGGAGATAACAAGGAAACAGCAGAAGCAATTTGCCGAGAAATTGGTGTATTTGGTCCACATGAAGACATCAAATCGAAAAGCTTTACTGGAAAAGAATTCATGCATTTACCTGATAAAAAGAATACATTAAGACAGAGAGGTGGGCTTCTTGTCTCTAGGGCGGAACCAAAAGACAAGCAGGAAATTGTTAGATTGCTTAAAGAAGATGGAGAGGTGGTTGCAATGACTGGTGATGGTGTCAATGATGCTCCAGCTTTGAAAATGGCTGATATTGGTATTGCTATGGGTATTGCAGGGACGGAGGTACTTGTTCTTATTTCAAATTTATTTTTTTTGGATCACCAAATCGAACAAATATTTGACTCCTAGTGTTTTGGAATTGGAGATCTGAAAATTTCAGCATATTTTTTAGTTGATTTTCAGCGGTCAAATTTGAAGTTGATAGCCATGCTACACTCATCAACTGGATACTTAGTTTTAAATTATGACTAGCTTTATGTCTTTATACTTTACACAACCATACTTAGTTCCCTATTAATTTGTCTACCAACAATTCTTAATAGCTTAATTTTGGACTTGATATCCCTGCAGTTGTAAGCTTCTCCTCCTCATTCAACCCATTCACCATGAAATACATCTCACCTCGTACACCTACACATAGCATCCTCCGCTTTAAATATTGACATCCTCAAATTCCTCACCCTAGGATCGCCACTGCCCCCAACAGCTTCTTCCTCCTCCAGCGTAGCAGCTATTATGATCCCTCCATATTTCCCCCGTGTATCAAGGGTGGGACTCCCATCTTTCTTCCATATGTTCTTATATGACCTGATCTCATTGTTTAGCTTGATCCCCTCCATCTCCGGTTGCCCACTCCCCTTGCCCAAAATGCCTTCCATAATGGTCGACCATCACACCACCTCCACCACACAATTCCCTCCTTGTTGTCCCCCTTCTGAAAACTCTAATCCACCCTTTATCGAAACCCTAGGAGGTGGATCTTGATGCAAGAAACTCTCCTCATCAAATCCCTTCTATCCGATCTCCTTTCCCTTACATTCGGCCAAGGGAATCCCAGTCAATCTTGATTAGGATTAGCAATTGGAACCGTCAGTGTGGTTTTGGATCGCATCTCCATGAGCTTTCTCATCATCTCCTTCATAATTTCTTTTCTCTTTGGTTCAGCCATTGGAATCGTCGGTGAAACTTTCGATTGCATCTCAATCATTTTCTTCATCATATCTTCTATGTTTTCAAAGCGGTTCTCTATGGATGATAGTCTTCCTTCCATGGATGAAAGCCTTCTTTCGATGGTTGAGAACTTCTCTACCACTTGGGATTTGATTTGCTCCACTTAGCCTTCCTGCACATCCATCTTTTTTGCCGTCATTGGTCCTAAAAAAGTGCTCTAATATCAAATTGATGCACCATGGAAGTAAAATCAGCGAAAGAACAAGTAGAAACTACATGATTACAAAGATAGTGGCTGATTTTGTATTATTTCTTCTACACGAAAGCAAGATACATATGATCTACAATTCGAAGATTGTCTCTCCCACAAATCCTAGTCATTGCTAGGAACTCTCTGCGAAAGAAACTACAGCAAAAAAAAATCAAAACATAATGAAAATAAAACAACCTAATTACTTTTAAATAAACTATCATATTGCTTATCTAGAAATATATAACTTTTATGAGGTGCAAAGCTTCATAAATTGCTAGTAACTATCATCTGTAGAGGTTGGTAATAAAAAACCATGAAGAAGATTTCATCTGTTTTATGATGTGGACGCATTAAGTTTAGTACTTGGTTAAGACAACATTTTCCTAATTATGTGTAATTTATTGTTCGGTATCTCCAGGTTGCTAAGGAAGCCTCTGATATGGTTTTAGCTGATGACAATTTCAGCACCATAGTTGCTGCAGTTGGCGAGGGAAGATCTATATACAACAATATGAAGGCCTTCATAAGGTTTCCTCTTCCTGGATAGCCTTCATTTGAACTTGTTAACCACATGTCTTTCACACTTATGCTTATTGTTATGAACCATTTTAATAGTAATTGCATTGCACCAGTTCATAAATTTATTATTTCATCCATGGCATATGATATTTACTTCGATTGTATTTTTACAATTGCCCTAACATCAAATTTCTGATATTTATAGTATGATCATTGCTGGAGCTTTGATTGCTATTGATTGGTATTACAAATGAATAAATAGAAGTGTACATTCTTCACATTTTTTTAAAACTATTTTTAGTTTTTCATAATTGATTAGCAATTTTTCTTTGAAAGCTTTCCAAGAAGCATTCTAAGTAGTAAAGCATTATATTTCCCTGCCTAACATTCGAAGTGCTTTATTTCAATAGTCTTAAGACGTACAACCCTATTAGAATTCTGTCTCTGCTTTGTGCCGTGTACGTTTATGACTGCCTAACTTTCAAGTGTTGTTTAGCTGTTATATACCATTGTAACACTTCATTTTTTCTCGCTTTGAGTGGAACTTTCTTTTTGAGGCCATCTTTGTGTTGATTTTGGATTTTTCTCTTGTTACATGCATTACTCTATACTACTATGCTACAGTTTTAGGGATTCTGATTTTTTTTCTGATTTGCCTCGATGTTTCTATTTGAAGGTACATGATCTCCTCCAACATTGGTGAAGTTGCATCTATCTTTCTAACGGCAGCCTTAGGTATTCCTGAAGGGCTGATACCAGTTCAGCTTCTGTGGGTCAACCTAGTCACAGATGGTCCTCCAGCAACTGCTTTGGGATTTAATCCTCCAGATAAAGATATCATGAAGAAACCACCTAGGAAAAGTGACGACTCGTTGATCAGTGCTTGGATCTTGTTTCGTTATCTGGTAATTCTCTTCCTAGTTATGTGGCTTATTCACTTAGCAGAGTGTTGAACAATATATGTCTGCTAATGTAGTTTCTAGTTATTTCTCAAGACATTTTGAAATATTTATGAAATCTTTTGTTAACATATGGCCAAAAACATTTTTCATTTTGAGCCTTATCTAATCTACACATGATGATTTAGCTTACTGACAGTTCTTTATTATAAAATGCCACTTGTCTAGGACTCGAAAACATGTTTTGTTGGAATTTCTAGAACATATTAAGGCTTCGTTTGGGGCGGCTTTCTTAATGCTTCATAAAGCAGCTTTTTATTACAAAAATTTTTAATTCAATAAAATTTTATACTAAAAAGTTGCTTTAGAAAGCAGTAATAAACCCGTCCCAAATGAAGCCTAAATCAAGTCTCTTTCATTGAAATGATTGTATTGATAATTTTTCTTAGCAAGCACACGGGAGATTTTTCTGTTGGTTCACAAGTAATCTCAAGCAATTAAATCAAAGTATTTGCTCTCTTGCAGGTTATTGGGTTTTATGTTGGGATTGCTACTGTCGGAGTTTTCATTATATGGTACACTCATGGATCCTTCTTAGGCATTGATTTGAGCGGTGATGGGCACACCTTAGTTACCTATTCCCAACTATCTGACTGGGGCCACTGCCCCTCCTGGGAGGGCTTCAAAGTTACCCCATTCACCGCTGGAAATCGCATATTCTCTTTCGATTCCAATCCTTGCGATTATTTTCAGACCGGCAAAGTTAAAGCCATGACTCTCTCTCTCTCCGTCTTGGTCGCTATCGAGATGTTCAATTCACTCAACGCCCTATCGGAAGACGGAAGCCTGGTTAGGATGCCTCCATGGGTCAATCCATGGCTTCTTGTGGCCATGTCAGTGTCCTTTGCTCTGCACTTTTTGATCTTATATGTACCCTTTCTAGCCCAAGTTTTTGGGATTGTGCCCCTCAGCTTCAATGAATGGCTTCTAGTTCTAGCAGTTGCTTTCCCAGTTATTCTGATTGATGAGGTGCTCAAATTTGTGGGTCGGTGCAGTAGCAGACCTTCAGCTGCTGAGAGAACCTCAAAGAAACATAAGGGCGAGTAGCTGATTAAAGCAGGCGGTAGTTCTACCCAAATGTTCTTTCATTGTCGACCTGCTACTCTTGTTCTATTCTTTTCTGAATCAGAAGCAGGTTTCAGACTTCCATTTCACAGTAGAACATCAGGAAGGGCTGAAAATTGAACTGGGCTCTCTCATCAAAATTGAGATTTCCCGAATGAATTCCACTATTGTTTAACGTTTATTCATAAATTCTAAGACGACTTTAAAGTTTTAGTATTAATAATTCTTCTAAGTAAATTTTGATCTAATTGATAGTTTAGGCTTGCAGCTTGTATGAAATGGGAGATGACAGAGCTTCTTGTGTACTCCAGTAATCGATCTTTTCTACTTTTGAAGCTGGTCATCTCTAAACTATTTATCCACGTTGACAGTAGCTTCATTCTCGGTAATAAGTTTTTTTTTTTTTTCTTTTTTGATACAGTATTATTTACTATATCTTTTGATCTTAAATCGATTTACGAAAGCACTTCTTTAAGTTTCCTGTCATTGCTGTCATCTTTAGCTTTATTAAATTATTTCTGGTATGTTTTGTAAACTTGTCTCTGCGTATCGACTTCTGTTACATAAATTGAAAATTACTGATGATTTTGTCGACGTTGTAAGAGCTTGGAGACATTGGTGTAGTCTTTTAGATATCATTTTGCCATATGTTTGGTCGTTCTTCATTGAAAAGAGAAGGCTTGAGAAGGAGAAGTCTGGTATAAACCTTGATATTGACATTGGAAGTTAGTCTCATAAGTGATAGACATGTGTCCATGTTGTTGAGGATGAAGTCATGAGCATCAATTTTCATAGAAATAATATATATCAACCTTATAGAAGATGACATGATAGTAGTTTAAAAATCATAATCAAAGATGTTGGTTGGGAGATTGAGTTCAATGATAGTGGTTGAGAGATAGCAATCGAGCGAAGGTTTTAGAGGACTATAGTGTAATAGCCAAATTCTTATTTTTTTAATTTTCTCTATGAACGTTGTGGCAACTAGGTTGGTAATGCTCCAACGTTGAGGCTCGGGTTTTTGGATCAAAAAAATATGTTATAAGAATGTGTTGGGGCTCCGAACGGCTCTGGGTGGCTCTGCCAAAGCACTGGGTCTCAGGTGAAGATTCTAGGAGAATTTGGAAGATTCTCTAAGAGAGCAATGGGGTTGGGTAAGCGAGCACTATGGCACTCGGTCAAAATAGTAATTTTTAAAATAATAAAATATCTCAATACATTTCATTAACCCTCTTACACCTGGCCATTTCCCCTGATTTTTGCATGCCTTTTGAGGAGAGAGAGAAGAGAGGGGAAGATGGTTGGGGCATTTTCATTGGTCAGACTTGTTACAAAATTTCTTCTAATCGTTGCAGGTAACCCGAATTCTATCATTATTGATGTAAAACAAACATGCGAAGAGTTGCTTTGGGATTGTAACAATAAAGATTGAATTTGCGCATTGCTAATTAGTAACTCATGCTTCAATCAAGTTAAATTCTTAGAACTTTTTCGTTGGAAGATTAGATAATGGTAAGCCGTTACAAGAGGTTAGCAAGACCGTTGCAATAACAACAAAAATTAAATAGTAGTACTAATAGCAAGTAATCAAGAATCCACAGCGTAACATCAAGATATGGTCACTTAAAGTTTCTACTCACTCAATCACTCTTTGGCTTTAGCGGATGAAGACGAAGCATATGATGAGAGAAACTGCCACTAAGAAGATGGTACCGAAGGTCTTTGTTGATGGAAAGGTAGCCACGGACGGAGAAGGGGTAGATCTCCCAATGAGAAGCAAAGGCGTCTTAAGTTTTTGGAGATCGATCGTCTCTGCTAAGCAGTAGAGGATGCGCTTGACGTATATTTCCACCATTTTGTCGTATTCCCAGTCAGGCTTGTAGAATGGGGAGAGGAGGATGTCGATTTCCCCTCGATCGTTGTAAGCGAAGTCGTGATCGACCTCAGAATCGGACATGCACCATAAGCATGAGGAGGAGAGAACACAAGGAGGAAGACAAAAAGAGAGAAAAGGGTGGTGGAGAGGGGGCCGGCGGCTTGAATAGGAGAGAGGGGTGGGGACGGCTTGGAGAGGTGGGGAAGAGGCTAGATTTTGAAAGAGCTTAGGTTAGGTTAGGGTGGGGGTGTGGTTTAATCTAAATCTGAAATTAATCTCAGATTTTGATTAAATTTGGAGGGAAACAATTTGAAATTTGATTTCAAATTAATTGTAATTAAGGCATTGATTGAGGATTAATGAGGGGAAGCCATATATGGGGCTGGCGGCATGGAGAGAGAGGGGGAAGGGGATTATGGGGGAGTTAAGCTCTTTCCAAACAAGATATGACAATTAGGCGGGAAAATAATGAATCCTCCAAAATTAAATTTCGAATGGATTCAAATGTTGAAAACTTTCCTTTTCTTTGATTTCACAAATAAGGAAAGTTTTGAATTTCAAATTTTGAATTTCAAAATTCAAATAATTTCTTCCTTTAATGCTAGATCTAAATTAGAGAGTCATTATGATGATTGAAATCATCATAATGGCTTGATTAATGGGTATGTGGCCGGTGGTCAAAGGGGGGAAGGGGGATTTGTCGTCAGGTTGAGGTGGGTTTGGATGGTGGTTGAACTTGGGGTGGTGGAGCTAGAGGATGAAGTGGGTGGGAGATGTTAAGCAACCGGTGGAGGTGGACTTGGAATGGGACGGCAGGTGGAGAAGGGAAGGAGGATGGTGGAAACACAAATAAAATATAAAATAAGAAATTATCACGAGCCGTGGACTCTTCCAACAACTGGTGGGCCTTGCACTTGCTCACCTCGAGCTCTCTCCCGTCTCTCTAGTGATCACACAAGAAGAAGAAGAAACACAAGAAATTTTAAAATATGACACAAAATTGAATATGACTGATGATATTTGCATTTATCAATCTAAAATATTTTATTAAATATTATATCAAATATTCTATTATTTTTATCCCGTGATAGAAATTTTAAAAATATTATTTTTATTTTAGTAGGATAAATTAAACATTGAGAGTAAGCAGTAATAGTTTAGTTACAATTAAATATAATCAACACTTCATCAATTTATTACTTAATTCAGCACGTATATTTGCATGGGCTTTCAGTATCAACATATCAAGGGAAGCTTAAGCATCACTCGGCATTGATAGCACAAACATATATTATACCGTCAATAACAAAATCTTGCTTGCCAACAAGCATAAGTCCACATACCCCATCAGTGAACAACTTAAGATTGATTCTCACATAAATCAATCCTATTTTTTCTATATATTATTTGAGATTAAGATTTTATTTGAGACAATTTTTTTACTATTTTTTAAAATAAATTTTTGGTACAAAATTTTTAATTTAAGTAATTTTTATACTTAAAAATAGGTTTAGAAAATAATAAGAAAATCATCCCAAATGAAATTTAAATTATTTAAATTTGAAAAATAACAAAGCGCTTTTCTAAAAATATAATAAAAACAAAACAAAACGCTTTTCTTAAGAACTTCAAACTTCATATTGATTTTTAATTCGATATACCTTTTTATTTATGGGTGAGCTTATAAATAAAAGAAAAACCATGCATTAAGAGGAGAATAAAGTGACATACAACTTTGATATCTCACAAAAAAATTTCATGCCATCAAGTATAAATTTCACTTCAATAATTAATTTTGAGATTATTTGAATTTATTTTAATAAATTTGTAATCAAGATAATGCCATTCAACAAGACTAGCCAACAATACAAAAATTAACTTTATCTAAAATTAAATTAAGCTAAAATCAAGTAATTAGAAGTATGATTAATTTTTTTTAGACTGATTATAGGGCAAATATCTTTCAAATTTTGTATGCTTATAGTCTAAATGAATGTCTTAATGAAATAAATCTAATGAGCTCATTACCGCCCAATTCCAAGTATATTAAGGCACACTGAGTTGTTCAAAAAAATTCAAATAGTAAAAGGGAATCAATACAAATTGTTCAATTGAGTGTCCTAATTTCTAATATAAACTTCTAAAATGCAATAACAAAAAATTTATAAACAAATCATACTTCTATACTCAATGATGTATCACCAATAGCAATCATTAACTAGCACAAATGATCATCATCTCCTGCCCACTATTGCTTATCATTGATTATCGCTAAGTCAAAATCATCCATCCTCCGACAATCGCTATCATATTTTTCATGATGATCATCCTTACCCAATAATCATCACTCATTGTTGCACATTCTCTGAAAATAGTCCCCTTCCCGTTTGTCGAACAACACGAGCATTAATCACTAGACACCATTTATCCATCAACCCAACATCATCTACCATCATCACAAGATACAACACATACAATCCAGGTCGTATAATCTTACCTTCTCTAACAATGGAGGTATCGTTGTAACCTTTAATCGAGAGAGTGGAATTATTTCAACAAGGCTAAACTCCTTTTTCTTTTTTTTTTCTTTTTTTAAATTTTTCTTGTACAATATTGTGTTGCATGCATGATATGGATTATTCATTTTTGTGTGTGTAGGATTAACATACAATACTAAAAAGATAAACTCTTTGCTAATATAAATTTTTTGTCACACAATAGAGTTTAGCACTATGTATTAATAAACAAAACAAGACCTTCCACTCTTAACTCTTTTATAACTCAGAGCTCTTAACTTATAAATAGTTCAATTATTACATGGTCAGCAGCCATTATTATCAAGTATGAACATTAATATAACATTTGAGTAAAATATTAATATAAAGGTTATGAAAAATTCATATGGTATGAAATATTACAAATTTTATAATAATCTTATTATGTTGCTCTGTGTCAACTCGCAGCCTCAAAGAATTCTAATCTTAGAGAATTGACAATTGATGAAAGATAAATGCCTTCCTTAATGACCTCTAAGTGATCATTGAAAATGAGATGCAAACAAAGAGTGGTATGAAGCAAATATGTAACAAAAGGAAAGCAAATATGCAAACTAAGCTTTCGTTTGAGACGGAGAAGCAGTAAGAAATCCGTCCCAAATGAAGCCTAAGCTAAAATAGCTGTTTTTTTCTCATAAAATAATAATAATAATATAATTGATACATCATAAAAAAAAATCGTGATTAGGCACGAATCTCTAAGGCAAAATCAAGTTGGAAACTTCCGAAATTAAAATTGGGACCATCCAAACTCCGATTTCAGCAAACTTACAGTCAAACTGAACGTCTCGAAAATACGAACCCAATGACACCAAATTCGACTCAATCCGAGCCCAAATGGGTCCAAATCAAGGATCTGAAGCGTGTTGGAAGGTTTAAACCACAATTTGGATTACCAAACATTTCCAAATGTGCCATGCTTATAGTCGAATCAAGAGGCCCGACGAGACGAATTCAACAAGCCTAAGATCACGGAATTCTGACATTATTAAGACCTTCAAATGTCTAACGATCAAGGGATTCAACATCGGGCATCCATACAAA